AACTGCTTTGACTAGAGTATCGTGATGAATCCAATCCTGAGTGAGTTATGTCCCATGTGGGTGTGAGGTTTGGGTGTTATTTTGTGCATTGCATTTGATGCCTAGAATTTGCCCTGTGTGTTTGCAAAGCGAAATAGTAGTTTTATTCAGTCTAGGAAGTGATATAGGCATTTTTTATTGAGCCAAATATGTATATTTTACCCGTCTAATTATTATGTATCGTAGTTAACCCATTTGAGCCTGTAATCCTGTTTCTTTGGAAACCACATTACAAGCCTTACCCATTTGTTTAAATTAACCATCTATTTGAACCATTGTAACCTCTCATGAACACTTGAATTATTTATGAACTTTGTAAAGGTTAAAGTGTGGGGTTGTTGGTTTGGCTTTTGAGTGGAACTAATTAAATAAGGAGAAAGGTACACTATTTTGAAAAAGTAAGATCCACTTGAATTGAAAAAATAAAAATAAAAAAAATAGTTGGATTGTTGTAAAAAAAAAATCCTTGATAAGTGGTGGCTCTTAATGTAAGTGTGCTTAAAGAAGAATGGGGTAATATATATTAATGTGAAGGTGGAGTTTTGGTTTGGCATAAGTATGGGGTTTGAATGTTAAAGTATATGTATTAAAGTGCTTAGGGAGGTGTAGTCACTCTTATATCTAAATGTATCCTACCCGTCTCGTAGCCTACATTACAACCAAATAAAGTCCTAATTGATCCTAGATTGAATGAGCTCGATTAGTGGAGTAGTACACTACGTGCAAGCTTATGGTGCATCTTTTTTGGTATATGAATGTTATTTCTGAGAGTGAGTGAATTCTTTCTATCTTGAGTTCCCAAGTGTCCTTAAATTTTATTGTATGGAACTACTCTCTTTTGTTGTGTGAGGGCACTTGATTCATGAATAAAAGGTAATGTCAGTGACCTTTATGTTAGAGTAAGTGGGTAGGTTGTGAATAATGCGTGGTACTTGTGAGTCAAATCTTGAGGTGAAGATGTTACGCTTTTGTGCTTAGTCTATTTTAAATACTCTTTGTGTGATGAGTTAGGAGAATTGTTTAAAAAGGGCGTGTCTATAAAAAAGGTGTAGTTTGATTGCTCGAGGACATACGAGCAAGGGTTTAAGTGTGGGGTGTTGATGATATATTATAATTATGTATTTTAGTCGCTTATTACACTCAAATTTACTGCACTTTAATTGAGTTTGAGCTTTAATCGCTAATGTCTTGCACTAATTGTGTGTTTTATACCTTGTTAGAGTGATTCCGAGCTATGTAGATGTTATGAATGAATTCAAGTGATTTTGAGCTTTGAAGTCTGAGTAAAAGCCCAAGAAATTAAGTCGGGATCGTATTCGGGGATCAACGGATGATAGAGCAACAAAACGAAGAATCGAGTAGGCATATTGCGCACTGTCTAGTGAAATGCACATAATGTTTTGCTCAGAATTCCATTTGGGCTCCACAATATATGGTTGGAAAGATAACTCAAAGAGCTACAATTTTCATGTTTTATGTGTTTCCAAATTCCAAACGGAATAGGGTGAAAAACGCGATTGGAACTGCAACCGTGGACCTAAGACGGACTGAAATAGTAGACTTGCCAAATACCACGCCCGTACCGCGCCCGGGCCGCGGACGTCCAGGCCTAGAAACTTGTCCTTTTTCGCGTAGCAGAAGGTATAATAGTTTGGGCCCGACCTTACTTGATATATATACATGGAAAAATGGTATTTTAAGGAAAGGAGACCAATATTTGACACAGATTCGAGCTAAGGAGGCAGAGACACAATAGGAGCAAGGCGGAGAATTTTTCTACGAGTTTTTCCTTCCTCTTCCTATTTGTTTCATTGTTGGTTATGACTTTTAGTATTGTAGTTTTACATACTGTTATGAATAGCTAATTTGTTATCTAGGGTTTTGATAGAACCTTTTGTAGAATAAATTCTTGTTATGTTTTTATATAATTGAGCCGTTGGATTTCTCCACTTGTTCAACTACATATTTATTGTTGTTGATTGAATGGCCATCGATTGACTGTGCCTATTTATTATGTATTACTTGAGAAAGGTTATATATTTAGGTGGTTGTTGAACAACGTCACTCCTAATGTATATGAGAAATCAATATAGCGGGTTTAAAGGTAGGTTTAGAAATAACAAAGCCTTGAAGTGGTCATAATAAGCGGTGAGATAAAGCCAACTAGCGTAGTTTAAGAGAATATGTCTAGTAAAATATTGTAGTTTCTCGAGAGAGAATTACGACACCTAAAGTGCTCACGATCAGTAGAGAATACATTGGCAAAATTGTAGAAAACATAGCTAGAAGGATTCCGACAATTGGGGAAATCATAACTCTAGACCTCCTTAATTTAATCTCCAACCCTTTGTCTCGTTAGTTGGTAATTTTACCGTTTACTAGTATTTGCTAGTTAATTAGTTAGAAATATAAATCTCAATCTTTATAATTTAGAAAATTGTTCAAACTTATCTTTTTAGTGATATTAAACAGATATAGCTAAGCCTTAGTTCTCTATGGGATTCGACTCTGGACTATTAGACCGGCTTATATTTGCAGTGATCGCTTATCCTTTTTAGGACTAGAGTTGGGCGTGATCAGAGATCAAGGCTAGAGGACCCATAAGATTTGCAATTCTACTTGGGAACAGTAGCGCTGCAGAGCACAGCAAGAGGTTGGAGTTGGCTGTTTAAGAGAATGCGAAGCTTCGTGAAGACAATAATGAATTGAGAAAGGAAACAAATCAACTCAAGGAAGAGCTCAGAAAATATAGGGAGGATCATTCTCAATAGATTGTCATCCTTGTGAAAGCTTTGACTCCATCTGCTTCTCACCCATGAACTTGTTCCTTCTCAGTTTTCTTAGATCTTTTGCTATTCCGGTGATGCCTTATCTTTTTCCTTTTGTCTTAGTCTGAATAGTTTGCAGTATGCTTAGTTTATTTTATACTAATGATGTAGACAAGGCCATGAGCTTCTTTTAGCACTACTTAATATCTCATATTGCTATACTTTACTGCTTTGTACTATATTGGATCATCAGCCTAGTCTATTTGCCTTTTCTTAAGCTTGTGTTGTAGCCCGTTTGGCCTTGAATTTTACATTATTTGTGATTCATGTCTAATTTTTTTTTTTTTGTGTTTTTGATGATGCCAAAAGGGGGAAGATAAGGTTGGAAGGTTGTGGATTGTGAACATACATGTCTGTCAAAGTATTTGTTGTGATTATCTGATTCTTTGATGTGATTACCTGGTTTTGCTGTGTACAAAGTTTGTCATCATAAAAAAAGAGGGAATTTGTTGAGTATTGAAGTTTTGACGATTAACAAAGTATGACCAAATATTCAAAGAATCAGGTCCTCAACGTAGCTGCTTAGCTGTTCTGAAGAACCAGCTCCTCATGATTGATACTTGTACGTCTGTACAAGACACTAACTTTATCTCAAAGTTACCTAGGTCCGAGTTTGGTAGAAGATGGCTGCTATAAGTGATAAGGGTCGTTACTCAAGAAGATACGGATAATTCAGTCAGAGACAAAAGTCCAAAAGCTTGTGGAATCCTTGGAATAGTAGGAGTCCTTTCAAAGAGGAAGTTGACTATGAATAGGACTCCTAGAAGATCTCAAGTTGTGTTTTAAATAGGATCGAGTTTGGACTTCTGAACTATCCTTTTACACATCAACTAAAGAGTCATAAGTCGTTTACTTGTGTTGAGTACTTGCCTTGTATTCTTCTTGAGTAAGTCTAGTGAATGTGTTTTAGGAAATTGAGTTATAATTAAGTGTCATAAACAATTAGTGAAATGGAGTGGGTATTTTGCTTTACAAGTTAGAGTAACTTGTGAATCAAATAGGAGTAGTAGGAGTACCTGAGAGTATTTAATTACAATCTTGTAATTGATACATTTTGGCTCATTGTTCTAGCGGAGTTGGAGTTGAAAATCCTACGTGGTAAACCGTGGTTTTTGCACCTTTTGAGCCGGGTGATTTTCCACGTAAAATTATTATGTTGATTTTATTGCCTGTTTACTTTACGCTTAAGGAACACGATAAAGAACCAAGTTCTTTAATAACTCATACGGGCACTCAAACTAACATGTATAAATATTCTCTATCTTTAGAGTAGTACAAGGACTGGTAAGAAAAATAAACAAATATTATTTCTTCTGCAAGAACAAAGATTTTCAAAGAAAATGATTGACGAGCTTATTAGCCAAAAAAATAATGATGTGCTAACATCACTATTCATATCTGTCACTAGCTTTATTATATTCTCCTGAAAAGGTGAAAAAGAAAAAGAAAAAAAGGAATTAACAACACAAATTATTAAAGAATCAAAAACAGCTCATGCAACAAAAACACCATTTGAGAAAAGAACCAATCCACCTTAATGAAACTGGCTTTCCTCTTTCTTTCTTCACCTTCCAAAATTAGATTCGAATATTCAGCCACCTAAGACTGGGATTATTTATCAGCTTCCGCTTCTTGTTTTGATTTCTTTTACGGCATTTAATATATATATTAAAGTCCGATTAAATTTGAATTCGATCGAAAGTAAAGTACTTTTAACAAAGGGGAGCCATATTCCTTTCTGATCCTACGTGAAGATAATTTTTCTTTGTTTGAAGCTACAAAATTAGCTAAAATTATTTTCGTCCCAAGAAAATAAATATCAGAAAGATTTCTTACGCTGGTCACCAAGTATACAAACTAGCATCTGCTGTACCTTAATTAGAATTTATTTTCCTATTTATGATAATAATAATAACAATAAATCCAAACAAACATAAGAACACGAAACTTTGTTTTGTTGGTTTATTTGTTATTCTTTGCAGATTTGAACCTTATAGCTTGTTGACAAACCCTATTTTCTTTATTATGATTTTTCTACACTTGACAAACTCGTTGATGAAATTGTTAAATCTATATCTTCCGGAACACAGAAATGGATAATAATTGTATAAAGAATAACAATCAACTTAAACGAAACAAAATAAGTCCTCCCTTTATTTTATTCTTACAAAGTTTCATCTTAGGTTGTTGTCAAGCACCCTTATACAAACATTCCCACAGGGAAAAAGTCATGCAATTATGCATAACTCAAAAAAATAGGTTTGCATGGTTACACCCAAGAGAAACTCATAAACAAAGGACATAAAATCAAGAAAATTAAAAATGACTAGAAACATCTGCATAGCTTAATCCCATGCATGAAAAAACTTAGGAAAACCTCAATTCTTGTACTTGAATGAACGTTATCTTGCCCAAAAAATTGTGCCCAACGAGTAAATGGTGGCTTCAGATGAGATAAAACTCGAGTAAATGGCTGGTAGCTTCAGATAAGATAAAGCTCGAGTAAATGGTAGCTTCAGATGAGATAAATCCTGTGTCCAATAACGGATCATAAAGGAATGGTCTCCAAAGTACTGACCGTCATGGACAATCAATTACGTCTCAGTCTCAAACATGTTATTAGCCGCGAGAAGGTAGAAAGTAAATGCTTAATTCTTGACCCATACTTCCTTCAGGATCAATCAAATGAAATGATTCTGAGTCATCATAAGATCCATGGATTCTCTCAAATTTACCTCTAAGATACATAATATCATCATCTTTCCCATGAATAGTGCCTGCTCCCACATTAACTGATTCCATTTGTCCCAATACTTGTAAATCAGCTTTTCTAGGTTTTCTTTTCACAGCAAACCCTACTTTTTTACCATTACAATACATCCTCAAAAGTGATTGATCTTCACCATTATTGTCACTCTCCAATGCGATTCTCACAATCCCTCCATTCATTTCCCTAGAGTTGAGACATAATATAATTAAATCAACGAAATAATTAAAAGAGTGCTCGTTTAATAGCTTAATATTTTAAATAAGATATAAGATAATCATACACTTCCAGCCAAAGACGGATCCAGAATTTTAGTATAGGTTCCTACAATGATCTTATGTCAATAAATAAATATAAATGGTCCAACATACTGGCCTCCGAGCTAAATAAGAGTCTAGGTAAAAGTTATTAGATTCACTTGAACCCGTAAATATTGGACTATAACCGCCCCTGCTTTCAACGTGATATTAGAGCAGGCAATGATCATAGGTTCAAATCTCATCGCCATACAAAAAGAAAAATTCATTCCACGTGTTTGGCCTATGAAAAAAGAATTGAACTCACACGTCAATGACATTTTGAGGCATCACATAATAAAATACTTAAACAAATGCTCTTCCTAACAGTTTAAACTTTTAAATAAAATGATTTTACGCACAATATTACCTAGCAAGAGTAGAGGTGGAGACAGCAAGTTCAAGGAGGAGAATTGGTGTGGAGGATTTAGGGTTTGTTTGGATACAGAAGCTGACTTTTCCCCGGCGATAGCCAAAGATGGTCCCTGTAATATTCGAGGAAGACGACGACGATGGCGGGTGACGGTGATAGGGAAAATTAAAGTTCTTGTGATGTTCATTTTCTTCTTGATCTTCGACGAAGGTGCAATTGCAGGTGGGGATGAGTAGCTCAATGAGAGAGCGGAGGAGCCGCCATGACCGGACTTGTTTCTGGCAGTCTACGGTGGTGATGGCGGCGGTGCCGACGGTTCTAGGGTATGAACTGATCATGTTGGTGATCAGGAAAAACTAGAGGCTCGTCGAATTGGTTTGAAGGAGTAGTAGTTTATATAGAGAAAAGTATTTAACTTTATAACACTTGACGTGTAAAAGCAAAATTTGAATTGATTAATATATATCTAAGTAGACCCATAATTTTCGAGCCGAGCAACCTATAACTTTAAAAATATAACGGATTCAATGCTAAAAACTTTAAAAGTTAAACCCATAGGATACACTCATAATATTATGAGTGTATAAAGGCTAAACTAAATTCTTTTGTACTGAACATAGTCATTTTTCAACTTAACATATAGAAATTTACATGTTATAGTAAATCCAGGAATAGAGGTAGGAGCTCAGTTACGAATTTGATCGAACACAATAGTTTTGTATAAGCAGTGTATTTTTGTTGAGAAATTCATTAAATATATATACACATGTTAAATCTAGAACCTAATTATTAACTCTTAAAGTCGTCGTTCTAAAATTTAAAACTTATAAGGTTGAAATTTTAGCTATGCTCTACTTAATTTGACATGTATATATAAAAATCTTTAGTTTCACCGTTAATGTATTAAACAACAAACTTTGGAGAAAAATGAATTGTTTAATTAGTGTTAAAACTTTAAAAGTGTAAAGGAACAAGCTAAAAGAGCTAATGGGGTTGGGTGGGGGGAGATGGAATCTAAGAACTTATAATATAATATAGTATATATATGGTCACAAGTTGCAAAAGAAAACTATTGGTCAGGTACTGGAAAGTGTAGCTATTCTTGTCTGTTACTGTTTGCAATTCTAGCTAATTTTGCAAAAATGTCCAAAAGCTTTCTTGTCTGTTACTGTGTGCTATTCTAGCTAATCTTTGCAAAAGTGTCCAAATTAGCTTTGAAAACTTCCAACAATATTCCTCCTGTAGTGAAAATTTTGAGGTGTCTGAAAACAATGCATGAGAAATTAAATTTGCATACATGAGAAGTAGCTTTCTTTTCTTGCTGCCTCTATCACTCATCTCCCCCCCCCCCCCNCATACCATCGACAAAAAAAAAGTTTGTTTCTTTTATTTTGTTTATTCACTTTGCAACGTGGCCTCTGTTTGTCGCTATACATAATCCTTATTCAATATCTAGATGATTTAGGCCAACTAGCTAATATTTCTTTGTCAAATATAGGATAAATGCAAGTGATATATAGTAATCCTCAGTTGATCATAAGTATTGTACTATATCTGTGTCATTTTATATGACAACATTTTTTTAGTGTATATATTTTTTGTTAACAAAGAAGGTCAACGGATATTTACTTTCTACTCCCAAGATTGACTAAGACAATCTTGACTTAGTCAAACATGTTACTTGAATTGATTTGGCACTCTTTTAACAGTACTCTAGACTTTCCATGTCTAAATTTTTGTGGAAGATTGTTCTCACTTATAGATATATGTTTACCTAGTATGTTTGTTAAGATTAATTATATAAATTAGTAGCTTTAGTTAGCTTAATTCATAGTTGGTTAGTGTAGCAGTAGTTAGGTCATTGAGTTGACAGCGGTAGCCAAGTCATTTGTTAGTTAGTCTGTTATGTTTGTTTGGTTTTGCTTTCTCTCATTTTGCTGAGATATATTTTTGTATTTAGTGGGTTCTCCAGTTCAACTTCAATAAGAGAAATAAATTCTGGAAGATTTATTTCTCCTTCTTCCTTCTTCTCTCCCTTCCCTTCACTAATGGCGTAAAGATCAAGCTCTCGTCACCATTGAAGCTCAGTTGAAGGTCGAACTACTGTTTCATTGACAAATCTAATACGGTATCAGAGCCAATCACAGGTTTTGACTCGTTCTTCTGATTCTGTTAGATCTCAATCTGTCATTCTAGAATTCGATCAAATCGTGCTCATGCAAGTTTCGCTTTTCATTGATCTCGAGTCGTAATTTTGGAAAAAGTTGTACTTTGTTCACAGCTAGCTCCTTAGATCTTTAATTGCTATATTTTAATCTTCAATCACTTAGAAAATTCAACTGTGCGAGATGACTATCGTCGATGATGATGAACAATCTACACAGTCCATGGTTGAATCTCCTAATCAGCCAATTGTTGATACCAGTAGCCCCTTTTACATGCATCCGTCTAATAATCCTGGAGCACCACTAGTTCATATTCCATTTAATGGTTTTGGATACCGTTCATGGAGAAGAGGTATAATGCGAGCCCTATTAGTGAAAAATAAGCTAGGGTTCATCAATGCGGAATGCAAAAGACCAGATCCAGACTCATCAAAGTATCGATTGTGGGAAAGGTGCGATGACATGGTAACTTCATGAATCCTAAACTCTCTAGCTAAGAAAATTACAAATAGTATTGAGTATGTGACATATGTAGTCGAATTATGGAAAGAACTTGAATATCGATATGATTAAACTAATGGAACAAAACTGTACCAAATTCAAAAGGAAATCAATAACCTATCCCAAAGAACTCTTGATATCACTGGGTACAACACTAAGATGAAGAAGTTATAGGAGGAACTTAACACTCTAATTACCAAATCTCATTGTATTTGTAATTACACGTGTGGGGCCAAGGAAAGTATGCACAAAGCTGAACAAGGTATGAGGTTAATACAGTTCCTTATGGGACTAAATAAGACATACACTATAGTCCGAGGTAGTATTCTCATGATGATCCTCTTCCCTCAATTGCCCAGGCTTTTTCACTACTAATTCAAGAGGAAAGATGGAGAGAAATCAGGACAAATAATCATCTAGCTCTTAAACTAGCAGCCTTGAATGATAACACAAGCAGACCAGGGTCCTTTAGGACTATTACTCCTCCAGCAACAATCACAACAATAGAAATAGACCATTCGATGATCACTGCAAGAGACCAAGACACACCAAAGAGAAATGTTACAAGCTTCATAAATATACTCAGAGTTTCATTCAAAATCAAAATCCAAACATAAATAATAATCAAGTTTCCAACTTTAATCAGAATCCAAGAAAAACTTTCAACTATGGCCATAATCACAATGGTAACCAGAACATTAAGTTCAATAGAGGAAATAGAGGAGTGGCTAATGCATATGTGGCAGCCACAAATACACAATATGCTGATAGTGAGAGACCTACTGCTCATGATAATGCTCAAAATGTGAGCCTCACCAAAGAAGAATATAGTCAGTCAGTGAGTTTGTTGCAGTAGTTTCAATCAGGAGAAGGAAGAGATTGCACAAGCAGTGCCGCATTCCAATTGAAACGGCAAATTTTCAGGTATTATAGCTTGCACATCCTCTATTGATTTTGATAAGTTGTTATGTGAATGTTTCATAAACAAGACTGACTCATGGATTATAAATTCAAGGCATCGAACAATATGAGTTTTAATAGATCCCTATTGACCAGTATAATAACATTACCCCATCCTTTGTTAGTTATACTTCTAAATGGCTACAAAGTAAAGGTGACAGAGATTGGTAGTGTGATACTCACTCCTAAAATCACTTTAGACAGGGTGATATTTGTCCCTTTTTTTTAGATACAACTTGATTTTTTGTTCATTCTTTGGCTTCTCATCTCAACTGTCTTGTTGCCTTTGCTAAACACTGTTGCATAATACATACCCCTTCAATGAAGAGGCCTCTGGTGATTGGTAGGTTCAAGGATGGACTGTACATCTTGTGCCCAAGCTGCTTGAAGAGCAACAGTGCAAGCCCTGCAGTAAAGACCTCTGATATTTTACCAACTACCTTTACTTGTTGCACATGTAACACACAACGTCCAATTCTCATTCTGTTGTAAATAAGTCATTGCATGTCAATAAGTGTGTTTCCTTTCATCCAATTGTAAATAGTCCATGGGCAAATAATGAAGGACAATTTTCTCTTATGACTTCATCTTATAATTCATCTTCTCATTTGTGTTCTAGAGATAATATGGATGTGTTATGGCACAACAGGCTTGTACATGTCCCTTTTATCAAAATGAAGAATATTTATTCTATCCCGGTAACCTTCTCTCCCAAACAACCTTTTAATTTTAACATTTGCCCCGTGGCTAGACAAGAAAGACTCCCATTTCCTCGGAGGACTAGTATAAGTAGCAGAATTTTTGAACTACTACATGTTGATCTATGGGTCTCATATCATGTCCCTACACATGATAGACACAAATAGTTTATCACCATGGTAGATGAATTCAGTAGATCCATCTGGACACACCTTCTGTCTAGCAAAAACAATACTCTCCAAGTGCTCAAAGGCTTTATTAATCTGGTGGAAAACTAATTTGTTGTGACTATCAAGGTCATAAGGTCAGATAATGGGTTAGAGAATTCACCAACACAGAAGTAAGTATGCTATTCCAATCTAAAGACATTATCCACCAAAGAACCTGTCCCTATATACCACAACAGAATGGTGTGGTGGAAAAAAAATATAAGTACCTCATTGAAGCCAGAGCACTTCTCTTCCAATCCAAGTTGCCACTAAAATATTGGGAAGAGTGTATTCTTTGTGCCACCTATATTATAAATAGATTGCCTTCTGCCTCCCTAAAAAACCAGACTCCATATGAGCTATTGTACAAAAGAAAACCAAAATATTTCCATCTAAAGAGCTTTGGGTGTCTTTGCTATCCTACTGCCAAAATCACATAAGGACAAGTTTGAGCCAAGAACAACACCATATATCTTTGTTGGTTATCCTTTCAACACAAAGTGGTACAAATTTTTGAGTCTAGCCACTAAGAAGATCCATGTTTCCAGGTATGTAGTCTTCAATGAGTTCATTTTCCCATTTGCAGTCATCTTGAATGCATCTTCTCAACCTAATGTTCCTCATTATATTCCCTTCATTGAGTCCTTATATGAACAATCTTCTAATGACACAAACACTGCACAACACCTATCTAATGTTCTCACTGATCAAAGGAGTCCTGATATCACACATAATTCTATGTCACCTGCATCTGTTTCTTCTCCATTACCTTCTACAGTATCTGTATATCCACTACCTTATTAACCATAGCATTATACTGAACAACCCT